AGGGGGGGGGGGGGATGAGTGCGTCATTGTATACCATTTTACTTCAACATTACCTCAAACAGTCCCCCTTGAACAAGGGCAAAGAAAATCCCAGATGTCAAAGCATTGGGTACTGGATTTGGGCCACCCATGCCGCTAACTAGTGAAAACAATGCTCCAGAACCAAAGGCAGCTGCCATACTGCAAAAAGTAATTATTAATCTCCAACAGCTACAGGATACAACAAATGTGAACTCAACGAGGTTGTGAAAGAGTGGATGGAGGAGGAAATGGATCAAAAAGGAAAAATGAAAGTTTAAGGTTCAAAAAGAAAACAGATGTCCAGTTGGGATATTTGTTATCATTGAAGTGTTAATCCAAGACATCCACTCTGCTAGGTGTTTTAAAATGAAGAAGTTATAAACATAGAGGTGTATGCAGCAAAGAACTTTGTAGGTTCCAGTAAAAGGCATAAATTGAAACCAGGTTTGCTTTACCTAGTCAAGAAGGAAAGCTAAATGTGCAATTGGAAATGGATGCAAGAACTTTAACAAGAGTAAGGCTACTGTAATACTTAAGTGAGAACCAAATTTGGAAAGCATGTCCTCTTTCTGGAGAGGGAAAGACGGTATCCCTATTCTTAATCATATTTATACTACTATAGCAGACGTGGATTGGCTTCTGAATGTCTAATCTATAGAGGATGCAAAAATGTGTAGACAATAATATGACTCAATCCCAAACAAGTAGGAAACGTCAAAGTGTATAAACAAAAACTTAAGCAAAATCAATGACTTAAGATCGAAATGGTCAACTAACTACTTAGCTGCTTTACTTAGTAAATACGTCTGATTATATTACTGACTGGAAAATTTTGTCAACCAGGAATCCAGTAAAAACAGGCTTACCTGGACTGCACATCTTCCTTGCCTCTAATTCTTTTCAAGACACAAGATATGCCAGCATTAACACCAGTCATAACAGCAAAATTCCGAGCCTGAACCAACGGACCTCCTGCAAGAGCCTGAAACCAAAATTTCAATTACGTTGCTTATCCATCATAAGTTAGCCCTGTCAAATCTTAAAGATTCCACCTTGAAGTACTAAACTTGACTTTCTGGCTTAACAACATGCATTTACAAGACAAAAAATTAGATAAAAAAAATTTAAGCTTTATGATCTATTCTGATAGTTCAGAGATTATATGCATGACTGCAGAAAATTCTAGCGAATCCGAGACAAACACAATAAATGAGAATATGATAAACTCCTAAATTCTAGAGAAAAAAACCTACTAACACGAAAATAGAGATAAATTATCAACAATACTTTTGAGCAATACCTTAGAAAAGATAAAACTAATACTAATAAGAAAAGTACCTGAGCTTGTTGAAAAGAGGCCATGGCTTGGGGATTGAGATTAGCACCAGCAGGAGGAGTAGGCATAGAGGAAGACACATCCTGTGTAAGTGTTCCCATAAATCCACCAATAGCAGCACCCTGTAGTCCACTAGTTGCTGTGACGACAGCAGCTTCAACTGGAATTGACTGCTTCGATAACCACCCTTTGAAGCCGATTTCCAATTCCTTAAACTTGTTCTGCAACTGAGCTATTGGATTCTGATTGCTGCTATTCGGCATTTCAACCACCATAGCTCCTTGCTTTCCTTCACCCATTGGAATTGAGAAAATTTCAGCCGCACACCGCCCCTTTTTCTCTCCGTTTGAAATGAAAGTTTGGTATGCAAATGGAGAAAGGGGGTTTTTCGGGGAGTTGGGTGGATAACGTAACGAGGTGAAATTTCTCTTTTATTCCCATTCTCTCCCTTAAACCCTTATCTTAGCAAAATGACAAAATACTTTACTCTTTTATCCCATTTCACCCCCCGAATTTGTTTCTTTTTTCCTTTTTTCCCCAAGACAATTTTGCTTTCTCGTTTTTGCTCCACTAGCACTTTCTCTTTTCAACGTTCCAATAGTATTTTAATATGTGAGGCACGTAGTAAGAAAAAAAATCGCGCATAGTTATGTCATGACTAAATTCTCTTTTTTCCCAATTTTCATACTTTTGGTTGTTGGGTCATAAGGTTTGAAATCCCTTCCATTTGGCGTTGATTCTCAAGTCCAAATAGAAAAATGCATTATTTTGTTTACACATGTCAAAAAGAAATTGTGTCACAAAAAACAAGATAGAGAAAAAGAAACAAAACTTTAAAGCTTACCATTCTAAATATGTTGGTTTAATGTTTACCCGAATATGAGGTGCACTGTAGTCATATTAGGAGTGATAATATTAGAAATAAAGATATTCATAATAAAGTGGGAGGAGTTTTTATGATGGATAAGATGAAAAAAGCGAGATTGAGATAGTTTATTTTGTAGGAAATGCATAGACACTCAAGTGAGAATGGTGTGAAAGGTTGATTATACATGGTACGAGGAGAGGTCAGTGGGCTGATAAAGCATTAGAGAGGGGTGATAAAACAAGATATGACCTAGCTTCAACTTATCGAGGACACGACCTTCAATAAGAGGGTATAAATGACATGTATTAGGCTAGAATGTTAGTAGATAATGCAATGTTGTCTTGCTTAGCGTGATTGGTGTTTGTCGTTGTACTAGTTATATTATTGTAGTTCTTGTTTTTAATGTTTTTAAAATTTTATTATTATTTACAATAATTTATCCTAATATATTGGCTAGTGTGTTTTGATTATCACACTATTTTATTGTTACTTGCTATATTTTCTTCATTGACTCCTTTTTTTTACCTAGATTTGTTGCACTTGAGCGAGTTCTTTTGGGAAACAACCTCTCCAATCTATATATCCTATTCTCTTCGGACCCCCCAAATTTCTCTTGATATGTTATTATTGTTGTATACTACTAATATTTATGCGATTTTAAGAGTTTAGAAATTTGAGATTTTAAACGTGTTATAATATATAAAATTATAAGACTAGGATTAAAAAAAAAATCATTTTAATTTTTAGAATTATAAAAGCTAGGATAAATAAATTAAATTGAATTATTTTAAATTATAGAAAGGACAATTTCATAAATGGATTAATTTATATATTCACATGAATTAATTAAAATGAAGGGAGTTTTATAGTATTATTTTATGATATTGATTTTGCATTATCTAAATGAGGAAATGGATGCATATAATGATTTGCAAATTGCACAAAAGTTTTTTTTAAAAAATAATTATTATTTTGAAATCTCTTACTAAAATATAAAATTAAGAATACATTTATGAAGACACTACTCACAAGCCTTTTCCTATGTAAAATCTGAAATCAAATGGAGGGAAAATAATTTCCGGTATCTGGCCTTTAACGATATACATATATTACATCATACTCATATTTTCACTTTAATTTCTCACTCTTTTTTTCTCTCTCTCAGGCAAGGGTTTTAGTATCCACTGAAATTATTCCCTCAAAACTCAGAAAATGGCTGATTCTAGAGAAGAATCTCCAGATTGGCTCCGCAGTTTTCAGGTATCCCTGTTTTGTTTTCATCGGAATTTATAAATTTGCTCGCTATGCACTTCTCAAAATCGGTTTTATGCACTGAATCTATGTTTAATTAGTTGAACAATCATGTGATTGAGTTTAAACCGATTTTGAACTTCAGTTTGGTTGGTCTTTCAGCTGCGAGATTTAAACTTTGATCAATTCAAATTGTTGTTCAGAGTGCTTCTTGGTGGAGGTAGATTCAATTACATGTATATAGTTTTAGAGCACATTTCTGTTAGGGTATGCGAATTTGGGGCAATTAGTTTTAGTTGAAATCATTGTTTACTGTGCATCACTTCAAGCCGAAAACAGTAGGTGGGGACTTGGGAAAATACTACTCAGTAATGAAAATCCCCTTTTTGTGTAAATTCTTTTGAACCCTACCTTTTCTATTATTCACCTAGATAGGTTTGGATGGTTGTTACATATTCTTACTTATTGTATTGTTTGTTTTAATGAATACAATGTTTGGATAGATTGCATTATTTTTTGTAATTATATAATGTCACACATCAACAATTCAAAGGACATTCTTCTAGAAAAGGTACCGGGTGGAGCTATTATAGAAAGGTAGGGTAAGGGATAAAATAAGATTGTTGGATAATAAGCAAAGACAAAATAATAAGAAAAAATAAGGTAATAACCCGATCACACCAAATTGGTCGTTACATAAATGAGACTTTTCGTCTTTACCTATGGATGAATTTAACAATATGATACCTAGAATTTAAGTAATAATCAAAACAAACATTGTATTTAAACTAAAAACACAATGCAATGCTAGTAACAACCATCCAAACAAGCTGTAAATGGAAAAATTGATATGTATAGTATAACCACTCACTATAACTTAATTGTATCCCCTTATGCTTCTTAAGGTCATTATTCAAGTATAAGTTCTGCTGTTTTGATATAAATTGGTTCTCCACACACTTTAGTTGAAAGAGTGGGAATTGTTTAGTTATTATTTGTTCTGTTGTTGTTCCATGTTCCTATTAACGACCAAGACAATCTGATGTTAAAATGATGCAGGCACCTGCTGCGATAACCTTGTCATCCGGATCTGAATCTCCTGTAAATAACAACCATCTAAGTGATGATGAGGATAGCATCAATCTGAGTAAGCTGTTTCAGAAGGATAAAACATCACTTTCAGAGGACAAAAGTAGTCAGGATGGGCATGGATCTCAACTCCCAAAGACATCTGAAGTAAATTCTCCGATTAAAAATGAAAAAGTAGATCGCACACCTACTAGGAAGAGAAAGAAGGAAAACCAGAGTGAAAAAAAAGGTATTAGCTAATCCATTTTACCGAATGAATCAACTGCATTAGATTGTAAGTGCGAAATTAAAGAAGGGCCCAGTAAAGATCTTCTCTTTCCAATGATACAGGAAAAGGCACTGACAAGGCTTTAACGAAGAGAAGAGCATTGGAGAAACCTTTTACAGATAAAGTAAGTAGTTTCCTATTATCTGTATTTATTTTTTAATTTACTGAACTATCATCAGTCATGGAAGTTCAGCTTTTATCATTGACTGAGAATATATAGAGAGTGGGTTAAATACTTAAGTACTCAAAGTATGTCAAAGAAGCGACTAGATCGTTCACCTGTACGGTACCAGTTGACGCTATGTTTTTGCTCATATGCAGCTTAAATGAGACCCTTGATCTTTGCTTTTATATTATTTGCCCCTATCTCTAGCGAGCTCTATACCAATCATACTTTCGAGATGCTGCAGTCAATGATTGCTCCATTGATAATCTTCAGTGAGTTGTGATCAATGAAGCAATACCAAATATGCCCCTAGAAAGATCAGACCTAAGCCACGAGATGATGACAACCATGCACCATCTATATCCCTGTTCCCTAAGGCACTCCTGTTTTTCAAGAGGGTTTGCAGCAATCAAGTACAAGAAAATAGTGACTTCAAAAGCTGATCAGTTAACTATTTAGTCATAGTTTTGGTAAATGAATTGTAAATAGTTGAGTATTTCCGAGAACCAATTTGGATTTAGGCTGGTGTGTTTCTACTTCAGAAGTCATCCATCTTGTGAGGAGATTGGTGGAGAAATATAGGAAAAGGAAGAGGGACTTAAATATGGTGTCCATTGACCTTGAAGAAGCCCATGATAGTCCTGACTGAAGTCCTCTAGAGATTCTTGATGCTTGGAGAGTAGAGGTGTGTTGGTGACTTGCATTAGGGCGATGAAGGACATGTATGATGGAGCCCAGATTTGGGTTAAAACGGTGGGAGGAGACTCAACACTTTCCGGTTGAGATGGGGTTGGACCATGGATCAATACTTAGCCTCTTCCTATTTGCCTTGGTGATGGATGAATTCACACGATATATTCAAGATGAAATGCTCTGGTATATGTTATTTGCAGATGATCTAATACTGTTTGATGAGAAATGCAATAAAATTAATGCTTGGTTGGAGGTGTGAAGGCAAACTCTGGAGTTTAAAGGATTTAGGTTGAGTAGGACCAAAATGAAATATTTGGAGTTCAAATTTAGTGATGCAATGCATGAGGCAGGCATAGAAGTGAAGCTTGACACACATGCTATCCCTAAGAGAGATAATTTCAAGTATCTTGGGTCTTTAATCCAGAGAAATAGGATATTGACAATGTCACACATCGTATTTGTGCAACGTGGATGAAGTGGAGTACGGAATCATGTGTGACAAAAAGGTACCATCTAAACCTAAAGGTGAGTTTTATAGTGTGGTGGTTAGAATGACTTTGTTGTGTAATGAGGATGTTGAGATAGATTTGTGGGCATATTAAGAGCAATAAAATTAGGAATGAGGATATCCAAGCCAATGTGGGAGTGACCTTTGTGGTGGACAAGATGAGAGAAGCTAGATGAGATGGTTTAAGCATGTGGAGAGGAGATGCGCAAATAACCAGTGAGGAGGCGTGAGAGGTTGGATATAGTTGGTACGAGGAGAGGTAGAGGTAGGCCGAAAATGTATCAGGAAAAAGTGAGATAGATAGGAAATGATGCAATTTTAGTTTACTGAGGACATGATCTTAGATAGGAGGGTGTGGATTAAGGGAAAAGGTTAGTAGGTAGTGGAGTGTTGTCTTGCTTTTCAATGGGTTTAGGCTTGATGGTGTCTATCGTAGTATTAGCCTTATTCTTGTAGTGTCTGACTGTTGATTTCTATCCTAATATGTTGTTTATGGTGTTTTGGTTATTGCACTATTTTGTTGTTTCTTACTGGTTCCTTATTAGTTATGTTTTTTTCACGGTTGTTTTCCCTTTTCAC